CAAAGCACTGTTTTCGGATGGATTGGAGGAGGTGATGTTGCTGTCCTGCAAGGGGGGGAGGATGTTTAGGGCAGCAGCGCGGTTAACAGCGCTCTGTTAGCTCGCGCGCTCTCCCATGCCCTTCGCTCTCGCGCGGCGTGGACGCGATCCACTCGGCGCTCCATCACGGGCGCTAGCCGTAGGCCGAGCGGAAGAGAACAGTCTCTCGACACCTACGCGCCTATCTACAACCGTCTTCAGCCCTCAGCTTTGTGCACGCCAAATACACGCCAATTATAGTTGACGCCCACGCCTTTTTATTTATTGGGAATCCGAACTGTGGGAACGACCAACATCCACCCTCCTACAAAACACAGGTGTTGTGCTGTTAAACTTTTGGCACTTTTTATGTCACCTGCCCCACGTTGGGCGCCAATTAAATTATCGCGGGAAAAAGTTGAGTTTTAAAAAAAACTTTATTTAACAAAAGGATTAAGTTCAAAGGCTTTTACATTCAACCGGCTTAAACGCAACTTAATTTTTAACTAGAACTGTCCAGTTCTGATGTTAGAAACCAACTGCTCTAAGTCTAATAATTTCCTTCTCATGAAACCTCCTTGAGTCCTCTTCGGGAAGCTTCCATAAACATTTCGGGTTCGATCGGATTCGATCGGCTTGGATTAGATCATCCAGTTGAGGAATTGTGAAATTCCAAATAGCAGTGTTTGCAGAAATCAGCCACAGCTGCAATGCAAATGGATTTCTAATTGAAATCGAACAAGCTGCAACGCAAATGGATTTCTAATTGAAATCGAAGATTGTTTATAATAAGGCTGGGGTGGCCTGGCTTCCAACTTAAATGATATCAACAATTGTTTATAATAAGGCTGGGGTGGCCTGACTTCCAATTAGGAAAACCGAAGATTGTTTACAGCACACTATGGGAAGCCAAAGATTGTTTATGACCTACTATGGGAAGCCAAAGATTGTTTATAAATTGAACAATATTCTTATGAGAACGGGTACGTTAACTAACATGTGTGTAAATAGACAGCCGCGCATATTCTCAATTGAGAGAGAACTTGCCTGAGTGGGCAGAGAACTCTCAAGTGGAAACAGAGAGATAGAGAGAAAGACTCAAAGACATATCGGCGGTTTTTTTTTCATTCCTTCCACAGGAATTTTTAGAGTCAAAACATTTGCGTGTCACCCCTCCCATACATAAATAAACGGCTGATTTTAACAGCTGCATGTAAAGGCTAAAGCGGGCCATCCACGATAGAATTTGTTCGGAAAACATGTTGGGTTCGAATCGTTGGTGGTGTTTAGCGTTCGGGTCGTAATTTCGAGTTCGATGTTGTGTTCGAAGAGAATAGAAATTATTCCATCTTCGTTGTGTTCGTGCCAACATGTTCGTCAATGGATGGACATTTTGGCACGAAACATTATTGTAAACATTTTTGCTTGAGTGAACACCTTCAATTAAAATGTCAAAACAATTTTTGCAAGAATTTATACATTGCCTGCATTGCCTTTTTTCCCCAAACATATATGTATTGCCATTAAGGCAATTACTGTCTCGGTGTCCTCTGACATGTTTACTCGTTGATAATTTAAAGAAAATGATGTTTGCGAGAAATGTTCGCACTCGTTGGTGGGCAAATGAAGTTCATAATATACAACATGTTTTCCAACAAATTCCATCGTGGATGGCCTGCTTAAATGAAAGATCGGCAATATCTTAAATATATATTTTAATACTAACATAAATATGTAAATATACATGTAGGTGTAGTCGTACGTGCATATGCATATAAATTTATGAAATTGCCAACAAATTGTTGACCAATTGCTTGGGTGGAAGGAGACGATGCTCTATCTCTCTCTCCCTCTCGTTGGTCGCGCTGTTGGCAAAAGGGCCTGATTGCGGAAGGGGAAAGAGAGAAGAGACAGAGAGCCCGCCAGAGCCAGCCGCTCGTGTTTTAGATTTCGCTTTTGTTTTAACGGACAATTCTCATTTTTATCAGGGGGATGTTTAGATGACAACCTGCATTCGTGGTCCCCCTCCACCTGAAAATATAACGGCTGATTTAAAGAGCAGCATGTATGTAGGACAGCGATGCCCAAAGTCAGCTTACGGCAGGGCACTCACCAATACTCCCAAACAAAAACACAAATACGAATAAGGGAACAGTGAAAGCTCGAAGAAAAGACAACAACAAAATCATAACAATAGTCGGGTAACACCAATCAGAGAAGAGACAAAACCGGTTTTTGCTGGACTGATCACATACACACAAAGTTGTTTGCATGTGTTGGGCTTTCGGTATGCTCCCTGTAGTACTGGCGGTGGCGATTGACCCTGTCGAACTACCTACTTCGCTGGTCCGTACATGGGTACCCACCGAAGTAACCCTATGGTAGGCGAACGCCGAACCACTCAAAGAGTAGAAAATAATTTTACTCTGTATACTTTACAATCCACCGCGTACCACCCAGCGAACTAGTTCGATGGGCTGCAACGTCTCACCAGTAGACAAAAGAAGAGAAAAAAACGAAACAAAAAAAAAAAGAAGGTAAAAATGAAGCTGCGGTTTTTGACATTGCATTGCTGGAATGTTCTATTGCTTTCGGCTGCACTTGTTTAGACGCGCTTATGAGTTTTTAGTGAAAAAAAGTGAAAAAGTGAATAAGTATCAATTTAATTATATAAACAAAGGTAAGACAAAGCAACCTAAGTTAAATATGTACAGCAATCGGCATTTACGTAGACTAAGGAAGGAAACTAGAGATAAATATGCTAAAAAACTAAAACTTGTGAGGGCAGAGACAGAGTCGTCCAGTGGAATAGAAAAAAAAAGGACAGCGAAACCAATAATGTAGAGGAATTGCAAATCGGAGAAATTGAAAATGAAATGGAAGTGATAAATACGGAAAGTGAGAATAAAGTGAACTTAAGTGAGGACTTAAAATGTTGGTTTTTGAAGCATAGGCCAACGAGAGAATGCGCTATAGACCTAGTTCGTGTATTAAAAATAAATAATTTGGAAGTTGCGCCATTTTATAAATACACTGCGAAAAAAAAACCTGATATAGTTAAATTTACGGTGGCCTTTATTTACATATTGAATTAAAAAATCAACTGACTAAACTGGGCTCATTAAATTTACAAGAAAATTTGTATTTTGATGTTAACATAGATGGTCTTCCGCTTTATAAAAGCTCCAATGCACAACTTTGGCCTATCCTCAGTGGTACTCCTGGACATACTCTTCACTGATGTTCAAAGACCCAAGTAGGAGAAAGATAAATGGCACATTAACATATAAAATTGAATGCGGAGATTTAATAACGATGACACGTTTAAAATCAGAAAGTACCCTACACATCATGCCCAAAAATACTTGACAAAGCAGTCCGCATTTGAAAAATTAAACATCAGAATGGTTACCCAAATTCCCTTGGACTGCATGCATTTAATTGATTTGGGAGTCATGCGCAAATTTCTTGTAAGGTTGGTGACCAATAAAATTTGTAATAAAATTGCAAAACCCAACTTATTAAATATATCAGAAAAACTTATTTCCTTACGTAAAAATATACCCAGAGAGTTTGCAAGGAAGCCCAGAGCTTTAAATGAACTATTAAAGTGGAAAGCTACAGAATTTCGACAATTCTTACTATACACAGGAATTTTTGTTTTAAAAAGTGAACTCACTGAAGATCAATATTATGTTTTCCTTCTTTTACATTGTGCCTATAGGCTGCTGTGCTTCCCAAAGCTACGAGAATCAAATATAGACACCTCCCAGCACATTTTAAATGATTTTGTAGAAAAATTTCCCCTTATTTTTGGTGAGAGTAGTGTATCGTACAATATTCACAGTTTATTGCATGTAAAAGAAACTATCAAACAAGTGGGAGATCCAGTAGAGGGCTCCTCATACGCTTTCGAAAACTATTTACAGCTGTTGAAGAGATACGTCAGAAAGCCATCAAGTATATTTGAACAAATATATAGAAAAATAGACGAAGAAAGTTTCACGATTTCCTCACTTGACTCGGAACCTACAATTGAAAAAAAAGTAATACTATTTAAGGGATGCGTTTTAACAGAAAAGACACCTAACAACTACTGCTATATAGAAGGAAGTATACCTGTAGCTATTGTATCAATTTCAGACGATTTTGATAGATCCATTATAGGACGATGACTGACAAATCTAAGGAGCTATTATGCTGAGCCCATGCCTTCATCCAGCCTAGGAATCTATTTAACGGACACAGAACCTTCTTCTACGGAAGAAATATTTTCATTAAGACAAATTGAATACAAGGCTATCGTTATTCCATATTTAAGTGATCTAATAGTAATGCCAATGCTACATCACGTACAAAATTAAGTTGCTTTGTTTTATCCTATAGACATTGAACTGTAAAACTCTACTACAATTTAAAAAGGAGGTTTTTAGTCCGTAGGCACGCAAAGCCCTCGTGCTAAGCGTGAATCGGACATGCCCCAAACGACGGCGTGGGAGGCATCTCTGAAGATTTTTGTTGAGCTACTGAGCTTCTTCAGTAGCGTTGTATTGCGATATTATTAAAAAGGCGATGATTGTTCAATATATATATTCACAGTTTATTGTGGTGAAGTAAATAAGCGATACAGAGTCGAAAGGATAGTTAGCTGGATTCAAGACGGGGTCAGATTGCAGACGCCGGGGTCGGTTCAAGACGGTGTCGGATTGAATAGCTCGATTCCAAGACGATGCGCAGTGATTGCAAGATCAAGACTAATTCAAAGGGCAGGCGGGCCGAAGAGAGCGACAGATCGAGAGAGTGATAGCGAAAGGCAGTGTGGGATGAAGAGGCGAAAGAGATTGTTCCTGACGTTTGTAGGTAAATGACAATTTAGACAAAAAACGAACAATAATGAGGATTTACTCTACTGCCCCCACTGGCTATAATCTATGCAATTAAATCTTTAGAGTTTACTAAATCCTTATTAATTCCTTATTAAATTTTAGCAGAAAATAAATTGAAAATATGCCGGAAAGTCCTTTGAGAAAAATTAAGCATCGTGTTTTCTTTTCAAGCGGTAAGTGTTAAAATATACTTCCAAATAATTGTAGTACCCCAAAATTGTTACAATTTTCATTTTAGAGAACAAGTCCAATTGCAACTGTGGTGATCTGACTGCTTCTATGGAGCGCTTTGAGGCATCGGTCACAGCTTCTATGGAGCGCCTTGAGGCATCTGTCACAGCTTCTATGGAGCGCCTTGAGGCATAATTTACAGCTACTGTGGAGCGCTTTGAGGAATCCATGGGTGGCTTTTCTGCTGATGTGTGCTCTTTACGGGGTATGATTTGTATGAAAAAATATTTTAATTGAATTAATCTGTATATTTGTTTTTAGCTGACCATAATATAACTCAAGGGCAAATGCAAGTGTTGGTCGAAGCCGTCGCAGAGCAAGCCGGCACCCTAAAAGGCCTGGTGAGGCAGCATGGACAGGGAAAACAATGTTACAATCTTTCCCGGTACCATCTGTCCAGGGACTGGTACAGATGGACAAAGATATAAACAGCACAAACAGAGATTTATACGTAAGTATCATGTAAAACAAAATTTTGTTTATTCTAATTGAATTTTTACAGATTGAAGCAAAAAAAAAACTATTATCCTGCCGAACGGTATTTTAAAGAATTGTAAAAATATTCTTTCTAATTCCGTTGTGTTAGCCTATAACGTAAATGGAGTCCAAGGCAAGTCGGCGCTGAAAAATCATACGAATTTTTATGGAGTGTTGCTTGGTATGCATATCTGTTTGTCCTTCTAATTTAAATTTTCCTGCCTATTAATATGTATTTGAATTTTATATTTATAGATGCTATAGCTGTAGATGCAGGGACTGGATCAGCAGAAATACAGCTAAGAAAAGCTCTTCAACTGCAAAAAAAAAAAAGACATTTCAAAAATGCAAAGCCAACGGCAACAACTAAAAGTACTGAAATTTAAAAACAAAGAAATTAAAAAAATTAAAATTTTGAAATTGTTAACTGCACGAGTTTTTATAATTTTGGGTATGGGTACCCATTTCACTACCCCTTAGATGGGTACCCATTTCTACCTACCAGATGAGTACCCATCACTACCTACCAGATGAGTACCCATTTCACTACCTCCAGATGGACCCATTTCATCCCTTAGATGGGTACCCAAATCACTACCCTCAGATGGGTACCCATTTCACTAGTTGGTGGAAACGATGTGGCGTCACTGGTCCCCATGCCCTAGGCTTTTGCGGAAGTAAAGGTGGAAATGAAGAATAGCATTGTTTAGGGTTTGTCCAGTTGGTAGTGGTGGTCTGTTAGGGACGGGTCATATCACCACCTCCGAACTAGTGCCCAGTACTACAGGGCTGGTACACAGAACAAACTGTGTATGCATACAAGAATTCGTTTCCTATGCTGAGGGCAAAACCTACTGCCAGAAGCAGTCACCCTCATGAAAAAATTCATATGAAAAATTGTTCGACGTCGACTTCGCTGCCGTTGACGACGTCGACGTCAGCAGAGAATTTTTCCAAGCTCCACTGCTCCTAACCGAAACGGATGTGTAAGAAAGAGAAGCAGATATCCATAGATTTCCCTCTCCCTCTTACTCACTCTTCTACTCTCGCCCCTTCTCACTCTTTGTTCTCACTGTTCCATTATGCCAGAGTCAAAAGCATATTTTTCGTGAAAAAGAAGTACCGAAAAATATTTAATGGCGCACCTACTTTTTTATACTCTTAAACTTTGAGCGCAATTATTTACTTCAATTATTTATATCAATAGCCTTATTATTATTATTTGGTAGCCTAATAAAAAGTACATTGTTATTAAAGTCTATTATATAATAATAGTAGCGATATCATTTAAGCAAACTAATTTTATATATAGGTACTACCATAATTTAATTTTATTGTTACCATGATTATATAATAGACTTATATAACTATGTAAAAATTAGTTTACTAAATTCTATTTATTTATTTCCATATTATTTCGCTGGTCAAGGACAAAAGTAACTTATAGTCGGATATGTATCACAATCGAAAGGGTACGCGTCAAAAAGGAGATGAAAATGACACGCGTCAAGAGGAGATGAAACAAAAGAAACAGTAGCAAAGCGGTAAGGAAAGACAATTAGTTTTTCGTTGCGTCTGGCTGGGGTGTTTTGTTTCCGTCTGAGTTTCAAAAAAAGTGTTTTATTTCCAGGTTTTACGATTAACTAATTCAGGTAAGTGAACTAAGTGATAACAGTGCGCTTTAAGTTTAAGTGTTACTTGGTTTTTAATAAAATCTAAAATGCAGAAAGCAGAATGCAACACAATATACGTCTAGAACATTCTAAAATGTGTTCGGCGAGTGCGTCGCACAAAGGAGCCTCAGCGGAAGGGGGGTGACAAAAGTCAAAGAATTTTATGAGCGCTTTGGATAAAATGAATAAACTCATTTATATTTTCCAGAGCTTTCGAAAATGTAATTTTCAAAATATTCGGTATTCATGTTTAAGAGATATGAGCAATCAAAGTTGAAAATTTTTTCCGTTTCATAGAAAGTTCTAGAGAAAAATTTTGACTTGTAACTTTTAGGGGTTGCTACCACGAATAGAAAATACAATATTTTGTTATATATAATTTTAAAATTCGTCGCTTTTTTTTAAGTAATATTGAAACTTAGATACTAGGTCATTTTAATAATAATAATAAGCTGAGGTTAATATATTTGGTTATGCAATCTATTTGCTGGCAAAAATTGATTAATAAAAAAAAAAAATTTTCAATTTTCTTGATTTAAACTTTTTAGTCTCGGTAGCAACCTCTAAACATTTTTTTAAAATAAAAATAAAAACATTAATATAATAATTTAACCCAAGATAAAAAAATTAAAGGTTTTTCCGTTTAAATTAAAAAAAAACATTGGCTCAACCTAATACCCTATTTTGCCTGTTTTTCGTTTGTCTTTTCCTAGTGAAACCCAAGTAACTGAAGTAACTTTAAACTTATTTATATTATTTAATATTAAAAAATTCATTTTTTAATTTACAGGTTTCGATAGAAATATTTATATAGGCAAAAGTACCAAAATGGTTGGTCCTCGTCAGATTCGTAGACTAGTTAAAAGGGAAAGGTATCAACTAGGGGAAAGGTTGAGGTCAGTCGAAGGCAGTCAGAATAGTGTAATAATAATTAATTAATTCATTATAAAATAATTCATTAATATATATATTTTCATATTTCAGAAGAGATGCAGCTCCTCCGGGACCAGAACCGTCTATTGATGGAAAATGTTATGGCGGATAAACTAGCCGAAGTTGCTGCTCTCGTTAAAGTCCAGGTGAAGGCAGAGCAGGTGGTCCCAGGGAGCATATCGTTCCCAGTGAAATCAGAGGAGGAGCTCGATATGTTCGAGGAGCACATGACCCCTCAGCTAAAAGATGTTTACGTAAGTACGGAACAAGGAGGGAAGCTACATGCGCCATACAAATTACAATATTATTTATCTTAAACGATTTAAAGCTATTTACATGATTTTGAATATATTTACAGATCAAACAAGTTTGGAAGCTGCTAGAAAAGGACTGAAAAACTACAACCTCGACGGGACTTGCGGTAAAAAAAAAGGTTTCAGATCCCGGGCTGGGCTCTATTCGGTTCTAACGGGTAAGACGAAATAAAAGTTAAGAATGTCTAACAATTCATTAATTCGTTTTAATAAAAAGAAATAAAACGTATTTAAAATATAAAAATTATTATTTTTTTTTAATTTCAGGAGTGTTGTGTGTGTGTTTTGGTATGCATACGGTACATAAACCGTCTAAAATTTGTCGTCGCAACTAGAACTTGAACCAGTTGGACTGCGAGAGGGTTTCCTGTCGAGCAAATGAGGGTCTGAAGACACGGCGACAGCCTCTGTTGATTGCAGTTGTAGAGAATGAGTGAACAGGCAGTGATGGTACTGTTTCTGATACTGATTTTATTCAACAAACTTAATTTCTATTTATAGGTAACAAAAAGGTACAGAAAGTGCTGAGTCTAGTAAGAATATGGTAAAAGGGAATTGGAATTAATATTGAATTAATTTGGATTTAATATGATATTGTGTTATTGGGCAATTGTGATAGTCAGCAATTGCACCAGTGTTTTTGCCCTCTGACGAGCGATCGCATCGTTGGCAGAAATTGCTGCAGAAGCGGTTATTGTTGACTCAGCTACAATGCCTTGTCGTTTGTTATTATGTCTCCCGTTACATGGGTCGACCTGACTTATTCGATAAGTGTATATTATGTAATATTAATTACTGCATAAATATGCGACTGAACAAGGAGCCTTGCGGATGCATAATCCGATCGAGTCGGCGGATAGTGCCATCAGGAAGGCCGTTTTAAATATAAAAAAATAATATAATTGAAAAAAATGCAAGAAAAGCACTTTAAAATAAAAAATTTTAGTTGTATTTAAATGATGTTGTTTAAGGAGCTTGTACGGAGCTTTAGAATTTAAATTAACCGTGAAATTTTTTAATATTCATGAGAAATGTCGCGTGTGATTTCATATAGGACATTTTCGGAAGTGTCTCAAGTGAAATCACTCGTGGCTAATAAGTATAAGCCACCGGTGAAATCACTAGAAAGTTCAGTGACAATTTCATATGAAGTTTCACGAGTGACAAAAGCGGACATGTCCATACAAATTTCATCTGGAGTTTCACCAGTGAGTCACCAAAGAAAATCCATACTTTGTCTCGGAACCAATTCTTTACTACTCGAGAGGCGTGCTTCGGGTCATTATCCTGCTGGAACTTCCATAGAAGTGGCATATTATCCTCGGCATATGGTAGCATCACCGTCTCCAATAGATCTTTACATACGAATCTGTCCATTATTCCGTCAATACGATGAATCGGACCAACACCATACCATGAAAAGCATCCTCATACCATTAGGCTACCACCTCCATGTTTCACAGTTTTACATGTGTATCTGGAATCAAATTCTTTGCCTTTCGGACGGCGAACATTCCTTTTGGCATCATTTCCAAATAAATTTACCTTGGTTTCGTCACTCCAGAGGATATTACGCCATTTTTTATCACCCTCCGGTCCGCACCAGTTTCTACGATCTAGTGCAAATTTTTTCCTCATCTGTAAATTTGCCGAACGAAGTAAAGGAACCCTGCGAGCAATTCTACCTGGTAGGTTTGCTTTTGCCAATCGTCGCCGAACGGTCCGTGATGACACAACATTCCCAATTTCGTTGGAAATCGTCCTGGAAGACTTGAACGGGTCGCGTTTAACCATACGATCGTCGGTCTTAGGTGATGATTTTCTAGATGCTCCCCGAGTTTCACCTATTTTTTCCGGTTTTAAGGCATTGGTTACGAGTGAGTCACCAGTGGCAGAGGACATGCCATGAGTGATTCACCGAATGAATCACGAGTGAAAAGTGACTTTTGGAACAGCAGGGTACTAAAACAAATGGGCTCCGTGGGCAATGGGCCTGGGCATCGCTGATGTAGGACCTACATTCATAAGTAGATATGTATCTGCAAATA